TGGGTATCTTAGGAAATCCTTCCCATGAGGTAGACAGACTAGTTGGAACAAAGCTGTAACCGGTAAACTAGGAGGCACTCCTTCAGTGAGTGAGTAACATCTGGTGCTTTGTGTTACACAGTGACCTTACTTGATATTCTCTCAGACTGCTCATGTCCAAGGGAACACAGTGGTCTGAACTTGAGTGTCACACTAGCTTGTAATAATAGAGGTCTAATTGTGAACTTTAGATAGTTCCAGGCATCGGGCTGTTGTTTGTTTCCAACATAGAAACTTGGTGTGTTACTTTTAGCTCCCTTGGACAGGTCACTGCCAAAGTGGCAGACCAAACAAACATCAGTAGCTGTGCCCTCTTCCAGAATCTGAGCTCAGCCTTTTCCTCTCTGGCTATGCCACTGAGCACACTAAGGCGAGCACACCAATGCAAAGCTAAAGGCAGACTGGCTTGCTTTAACATTCTTTCTCTGATAGCTTCTCTAAATAACAAAATATTTCCTATTCTAAGAATCATATCCTCTATCCATGAAAATCTACAGATACCAAAGACAGCATGTGGATAATATTAGAATTAAAATAAATGCAGATGACAATCTTGAAATGATTTAACATCAGCATATATTCGTAACAGAACTTTTATAAGCATTTGTGTTACTGTTCCTGTTTGGGTGGGAAAAGTTTACTATCAGCTAAAGTATTTTAAACGCACTTGTATCATTTTTTTATTGTTTTGAGATAATAAGCCACTTTGATGTGTACATGCCCATGCTCCAAAGTCTATATATGCTTTAACCATTGTACTTTATTACCCCTTTAAGAAGTTGCAGTTCCTAAGTTTTCTAACTACTACTAAAAAACAAAAATTCAAGTGAATTTAAAATTTGATTGAGCTTTATTCAGTGATTCATGAATCATGCAGCACCCCATGTAGCAAACAGAAGGGAGTTCCAAGAAGCCAAAAGAGGGAAGGCTTTCTTGGGCAGAGGGAAAGGAGGTTACAGCAAAAGAAAAGAAAGGGTTACTTTAGGCAACATCACCTTCCCTTGGGGGTCTTACCATGCAGATTACACTAGTACCAGGAAATTCCAGACTGATTGGTTTGAAATTCCACCCAGAGAGAGACTAAAACTGCAATTATGTGAGGTATTAGATTCTGGTGGGGTTTAACAAAAGTGAGTCCATCTGGGGCCTGTTGTTTCTTTTTAACACTCAAGACCTTACGATTTTTTGCTCTGTACCACAAGGATGTAGAAATGGGGCCAACAGATCCTATACAGTCTTGTATTTTTTTAGATTAAAAAAATTCCTTGTATCTGTAGTTGTGTATGTCTTTTTGATCATGGTGCTTATTTGTCATCTTTTTTTTCCATTGTATTTATTAGTCATTTCAAAAAACACAGATTTGGGTTTTACTGATTAACTTCTTTTCCACTCTTATTGCCTAATGTTTCCTCATAATTTCCTTCTTTCTATTTGCTTTATTCCACAATTACTTCATTGAGCTTTCTCAATTTAATGATCTGTTTATTTACTTCCAAAATCTGTATTCCTGCATTCATGTCTGCCTTATGTTAATAACAGGGGCCTCTATCAACACCACCACATTCTCTTCTATGACCACGCTACTCAGGCTTTGGTGCCTAGCCTCCACCAAGGCTGCTCCTCTGCCTGTAGATACCACCCACTGTGCCTCTTCACCTGTCAACAGTAAGGGACTTCCTCCCTGAAATACTGTTATTCTCTTTTTCTTACCTACCCTATAACTTCTTCCTACCCTTTAACTCTTAACCAAAAATCTACCATATTTGATCCACAGAGAGCATGTCACTTTACACCCTCTTCAGTATACAACAAAAGTATAATCATGTAATAATTGGTAATAATCAGTAATAATCATGTAGTGACATGTGATAATCATTTTCTTGATTCATTCACTAATGCTTAAAATAACAAATAGGAAAAAGTTTGTTTAAAGTTTAATAATTCAGAAAAGTATTTCATGTTTAAATCAAAATTTGTACTTCCCAAAATAAAATCGTGACTTCTAAATCATACTGTTTTAAAGCTTTTATAAAACTTTCATCACAGAGAAAGGCAGAATCAAAGTACTTGCTCTCTGGCTGCCTTTGCCTATAGTCAACTGCGCTCTCACCAGCCAGAGTCACTGACATTCACCCCATGCAGGGTCAATGAGCCTCAGACTAGGGCATTCATAAGATTGCTTCAGATATCATGCTATTGGTATGGACACAGGAAGTTAATCCAAAATCAAGAGCTCAATTGTCATTTAATACTGTTTATTGAGACATTTTCAACTTAAAATGATGGCTACTTTTGCCTTGAGTTCCTTCTCATGTACCCAGGTGCACACAGATCTTACATCAGAAGTCCTTGTAGAAGGGAACAGACATAGCTCCTGGGGTTAAGGGAGGGCAAAAGAGAGGGGCCAGAGCAAGTAACACCCTGAACAACTCTTAAACAGAAAGAGAAGTCCTACTTTTCACATCTCTGCATGAATCTCCCTTAATCCTTAAGAGTTCAATGTAATGAAGAGCACATCTGGCCAGATGACTTTCCTGTATTCTTTCATATATCTATTACATACTTTTCACAAACTCAATGACTTTAGTAGAAGACACCTCTGCTAAGTAATACCTTATGTTCATCACCTTAAAAAATAACAAAGCCTTTTTTAAAAGTACTAACTCACCCCAAATAAAATTGTCAAAACACAGATAAAACTTGAGATAGCTATTTTCTTCCTTGTTTCTATTAAATTGCAAACAGAAGTGGCTGACTTTATTAATTTAATGAACATTTATTTCGGCCTGGCTGGAGCTTAAAGTTGTCGTGTGCACTGCAGGGCTATGGAGGGGTGCTGAGGGGATGCCAGGTGGTGATAGGTGCTCACAGAAAACCAGAGCACGATAAAGGGAGAGTGGGGTGAGGCTGCTCATTACATACAGTGGTGTGTTAGGTTAGGCTGGGCTACCCTGTGGTAATAATTAACCCCTGAAGCTCAGTGGCTTGGCATGACAAGTTTCTTATTCACATTACATGTTCACCATGGGTCAGCAAAGAGTTCTGCTCTACAAAATCATTCAGGGACACAGATGGCTGGAGGATGCTCCATCTGGGACAGGATGCCTCCAGAGTCCTTCTGCAGGTGCTGCAGCAGTGGACACCAACTGGAGGGTCGTGCATGGCCCTACGGGTTCATATCTGATTGGCCAGACTAGTCTCATGGTCCCAGCCATTGCAAGAGGGTTGAGAAAGTGAGGGATGCTCATGGGTGTTCCATGAGCAATTAATGACTTATCATTCATTCTCTGATACTGTGAAAACTGAGCAGAAATTTAATAAAGTAAAGGAAGAAGCAATACAGATATCTGGCAACAATACTTTGTCATAGATGACTTACAAAACATAAAATATACTGTACCTATTTATTTCTCATGAACAGCCACACCAAATCCTTAAATTAGATCTTCTGATGAGAATAACTAAGTACCTCATAAATCTCTCCCTTTCTCTCTCTCTCTCTTTCAGTTTCTCTCTCTGTCTCCCCAGTTTCCCATCCTGTCCTCCCTCTCCCTCTGTCCCTCTGGTCACTGTTTGGTTCAGTAGTAACATCTTACTTACCTTGATTACCTTAACAGCCCTATATACCACATGACGTATAACATCTCTGACCGTCCTTTACATCCTTCAGTAATTTATCACCTTAAGGACAAAATCATAATTCAAGGGCTAACAAGCACATTCCTGATTGACAGTAAACCACATCCTCGGTGTCCTTGTTCACCACTTTTCACATATTTAGACTCTTTTCCTCTTATTACCTATCTAAAATTTAGCATTATCGATACTGCACATGGCTCTGAAATTACTTCAAGGACCAAAATGAAAAGATTGGAAAAAGAGTTCATTTAAAAAATTAATGCTTACAATAGCTCTTTGAAATAAAGAATGCTTTTTACATTTTTACACTTAATGTTAAGTTAGATATTATGTAAAATTGTTTTCACTTCAGGAAGAAATGCAATATGGGCTATTTTGAATATCAGCAGATTGAGAAATCATTCATAACTCCTACTATTCAAATAACAGAAACGCTCAGGTAACTTCTTTCCCCAGATAGCAAAGCACAAAAGAATGGAATTAAACCTAAAACTGTGCTCCTCCTTTTTTCATAACCAGCATTGTGTGCTCAGGTAAGTTACTTCATTTTGTTATACATTAGTTTCTTCTCCCATAATACAGGCATCAGATCCATCCTCTCTATTTCAAAGGTTAAGTAATCACTGTGAGAAAAATCCATTACTATCAAGCACATGTTAATTCACAGGTTATTTCATACCTGTCCTGAAATACTCATAAAAAGTTTGAAATTTGACAGTATCAGTCTCATTAACCAAAATCAATGTTAGAAGTGATATTAAAATAAATAGCAAAATGAAATTGCAAAATATACTTTACATCTCCAGCCTCATAAAACATGAATTTTATAAGCACTTTAAAATATTATCAGAAACACAGCTTTGTCGGTAACCATTTGAAAAAGTAAATATTAATATATAATCTGAAATGCTGTGCTTATGCATTTAAATACAATAATCCAAAATTCCATACCTATGGCGTATCAGGAGGCCTTCGCATATGTAGGTACAGATTCCCCGTAAGTTGATCAAGAACTCTGCCAAGCTCTCCAGCATGCAGAGGCAGCCCCGAGGTGCTGGTGGAGCGGTGACGGCTGCCACCCTGCCCAAGGGGGGCTCCCAGCTACAGGGCAGTTTGGGCAGAAGCCCAGGGAGGGAGGAGATGGTGGACAGAGAATGTGTAACAGCAAATCAAGAGGGTTTCTTTTTTGTTAAGTGTTTACCCACCCCTCTACAAGCACAGCTTCCAGGAAATGTTAAAAGAGAAGGCTTAGCATCAGAAAAATGGTCTTTTAGAGTTTTCAGCCAAAAAGCCCCTCTTCCTTTCATTTCTGGTTTTCTCACCTCATGTCCTGAAGACACTGTTTCCCTTCACTTTGTGTCGTCCACATGTTCAATGCTTGTAGTTTTCAGCTCTGCCAATCTAGCACTGAAATCCTTGGCTATTTGTCGTCTGCAGAAAAGAAAAGAAACATTAATATTTTAGGATAGAGGGGCTTTTACAACAAATCTCTCACCAAATCTTCCTTCACTCTAAGCTCTTTTCCTTGCTCTGCCTCCAAGATCACCGCTTCAGTTTTCCGTGGTTTCCTTGAAAAACCGAACATTTCCTGACAGGTGTTTCCAGTTACCTCTTATTTGCCCACTGATGGTTCTAAATGCAACTCTAATCACGTCCTTCTACTATGTAATCCTCTCAAAAGTTTCCTACTTACTCTGCCCCCAGAGTGGAACCTGAATTCTTCAACAGGAATCAAAGGACTTTGAGGACCTGGATGCTGTTCACTAGTCAACTCACCTCTCTTTCATTCTCTTCTCATCTCTCAAGGCACACCTGGGGACCTCCTCATCCTGAGAGTACCAAGCTTCTTTACCCCTCCCAGCCTTTTTCACTCTTGCCCTCAGCAAGGCACGGGGCTTTAGCTCTCAGCTCGGCCACATTGCTAGGAAAAGCCACTAGCTGTCACATTACACGCACACTGTCAGACACACACAAAGCGAGACGGTACAGCTTAGTGGTTACATTACCTAAACTGAAACCAGACTCCACATATACAAACACTGGCTTTGCCACTTGAGGGCTGTGATCTTTGGAACATTACTCTCTATGCCACAGTTTTGTCCTCTGTAAATGGGAATACTAGTCACTAATGGTGTAAAGATTAAATGGATTATATTATGCTTAATATGTAATATGTGCTATGTAAACAGTGCTATTCTTATTAACAGAGACTAATTAGTCTATTAAATAAGTATAGCTAAGGCCTTACTATGTGGTTGGTCCTCTTCTAAGTGGTTTAACATATCTTAACTCAAATAACTCACAAGACAGGGTAAAGTGTGCCTCTTGTGTGCTCCCTGAGCCCCTTACAAAACACTTACTGCCCTAAACTGAGTGTTTTTGTGACATGTCCAGTAGGTAGTAAGCTCCCTGAGGGTAGGAGCACATCTTCATCCTTGTATCCCCCAATGTCCTAACAGTGCCTGGCATTGTGCCTAGCACTCTGTTAAGAAACATTTTAAATTGTCATAGTTACAGCATGTCTGTAAAGTCATAAGGAGACCTGATTGCTATAAACTGCCCAGCATTCAAAAATGATAAGTAAGATTATTACACATCTCTTAGCCAAGTGGTTTGAAAATGTTTTTTGTGTTATTCACCTTCTCCTCAACCCCCTCAGGTTCTATCCCTGCTCCACTCAAATTGTCCTTTCCTAGGACACTAGTGTCTTCCTGTTGCCAAAGCCAGTGTCAGCAGCAACCATTCAAGACAGTCAACCCAGCTGACCACTCTCCTCCTTCCTGAGAGACTCTTCTCTTGGTTGCCACGCTGTTGGTGGAATAAATTATGAAGTGCCATGGTTGGTAATTTAGTGGCTCACATGTCAACCTATGATATAAAAGCATCTGTTCCCTACTGCAGCCTGAACTGTCTGAAACTGTCCAATGAGGACGTTCAAAGACAATTAGTCAAGTTTTGTTTAGAGCATGAAACTGTTTTAGGTCCTATGTAACTTTTTCAGAGGCTTGACTGACCTATGGTGTGTGAGTCTGTACCGGTAGGGGTGGGGGGATGTGCGGAAACATCACAGTGGCTTATGTACATCTTCTTTCAAGTCCAAATTCACTATTACTCTCTCTTGCCTTCAGGGCATTTCCCCACTAACTCCTCTGGCTAAACTTGAAAGCGATTTTAAATCCCACTCCAATGACCACAATGGGCCAGTATCTTATTAATGCTACTTCATCTGACTTGCACAATTAAGGATGGATTCAAAGTCATGTGATTAGCAAGAAAAGCATGAAGCAAATATCTTATGTACTCGATCCAAAATCCTTACCAAGAATAACCCAGGGGGCTTGGGTCCCTCAGCAAAGTTACAGAATCAGACTCTCTAGGAAGGTAGGACTTAGACATGTACAGTCTGTAAAGGATCCCCTGGAGATTCTGATGTGTTTCCCTGAATAAGAATCAGGTATCAGATGAAGGTGTTCATATCAAGATTCTACACTGAGCTAGGCGAGGGTATTCAAGACTGAAGAAACAATTCCTCTCTAGCAAAGGATATATACACAAGGCCACAAATGGGCATTCTTTTAAGAAATGTTTTAAATCATCACAGTTACAGCATGTCTATAAAGTCATAAGGAGACCTGATTGCTATAAACTGCCCAGCATTGAAAATTAAAAAATATTATTACATATTAAGACTTGCAAAATATCAAGTGCCTCAAATCTTTAAGACTGCAACAATACTCACACATAAAATGTTTTCATAAAAATATATATTTATCTCTTTTCTCTGAGATGCTTATGGCCCTTTAAAGTTTATACAATGCCCCCATATGTTAAACAAGGAAATGTCCCTTCATTTACAAAAGATGACAGGTAAGAACTACAGAACAAAAATTCTAGAGTAGGATAAATCTGTATGTACTCCACTCCTATGTAGGAGATATGTTACATTAGCCTTCTAACTACAGTTAATTGCATTAACTTTAAATGTCCCTATGAAAGAGAGGCTATTCACAATTAAACTAGAGGCTATAGAGAAATTAATTCCCAATTCAGAAGCAGAGCAGTTCAAAATCTGAATCTGGAGTCAGACGACATGAGTTTGAATCCCGGATTGTGCCATTTACGAGATGTGTAACTTTGTGCAAGCTACTAAATTGACCCCAGTCTACATTCCTCTTTAAAGTGGGGGTAATAATATCCATCTGATAAATGCAATTAGACAGTGACTGAAACACAGTAGTGATCAAGAAATAGGCTTTTTGCTCTTTTTGAGAAAGTAAAAAAGCAACTAAATTACATTGCAGGTTTCTGGATGGGTCTTCCATTCTAATGCTGAGCAAACTTATGACAGTACACAAGTGAACTTGCCTGTACACTCAAGACGAATACATTGTCCTTAAAAAGTTATTTCCAATACACTCACTCATGCTTTGCCACAAAAGACGATCAAAAGTACAATAAAACTCATTCATAGAATTTTCATACTTATTACACAGTGTCTAAATCTCAGGGAACTGTGGGGAAAGATTTGTAAGGAAGATTTAAAAACTCAAACTATAACATAGGCTTTGGGACTGCCACCAAGAGTTAAAATTAAGTTTATGCTCCTCTGGACAATTACACCTGACTAAATGCAAATTAAACCTTAAAGAAAGTAACTGGTGAAATAATCAAGTTAGCCAACACATTAAAAGGTACATTCACTGAATATATCTGATGAACTCCATACCTACACATCATAACTGCACCTGGAAACAGAAGGCACACATTTCTGTTAAATGAATGCATGACACTGAACTCCCAAAAAATCATTCAGGAAAGGAAACATGGTTAGAAATCACCCAGCATTGTGAAAATGTAATGGTGAAAACATAAGAAGGAATGTTTTCCTTATCACAGCTGACAATTCATATTGCTTCTTGTGGGCCCCGCACACTTCGACTCTTCAAGGACAAAGTCCGGGGTCCGCTGCCACCCGGTAGGCAGGGCTGCCCCCGCACCCTCAGGCGGTTCCCCGACGCCCGCAGGGCAGGGTGGGCGGGAGAGGGGGCGCAGGGCCCCGGTCGCTTCCCGACGTTCCAGAGTCCCCCCGCGCTCCCCGACGCCCACGGCTCGCGAGGCCCTTCACCACGTGTAAAAAAAGGCGCGGCACGGAGACACCCACGGAGAAGGCCCGCAGCGATCCACGGGACCAGCTCCGCCCCGCGCGTCTGGGAGGCGGCAGGGTGGCCCGGGCCCAGCCCCGCGCAGCCCGCCCCGGCCCGTAGCCCCGGTGGGGGTGGGGCGCCGACACCGGGCCACTTGCCCTCGGGCCGCAGCCGGCCGAGCGGCACACCTGAACGCGGAGGCCGCACACGCAGAACAGCGTCGTCTCCCAGCGCGGATGCGCGGCCCCGCGGCCAAAAGGAAGCTCGGCCGGTGACCCCGGGGGAGCTGGGGCCAATCACGGCGCACCCAGCGTGTGGGCGGGGCCTGCGCGCCGCTTATCCCGCGGCGGGGCCCGGGTGGTGTCCGTCAGACGTGGGACCGGGACCCCACCGCCTCTTCGGCCGGGTGATGCTCCCGCTTGGGCGCGAGCGCAGGTGCCTGGGGGTGAGGGCCCGCGGGGGGTGCGGGGGACGCTTCCTTCCAGGGAGGGACGCCGCCGCGGGGCTCCTCCACCTGCCCCGCTGGGGGCTTCGGTCTGACCGCCAGGGCTTCTGCCCCACTCTCTACCCTTTGTTTTCTGCTGTTTCTCTTTCCTCTTGACCAAGGCAGACTTTTTCTTCCTGGGGAGTGGCCCCCTAATTTCGAGAGGAGGCTCCTGGAAATCCCTAATGTCTAGGATTGCGCAGAAGGCCTTCACCCATCCGAAATCTTTCCATTTTACTCAAAGAATTTGAGTTTGTGGCTTCTTCTTTTCCATTTTTTAATAAAAGTTTGAACTTTACCGTTAATTAACCAACAAATACGAAATGTATAGGGTTCCCCAGGTAACACTTGAGTTTGAATGCATCTGCTACTACCTGGCGTTGACAGGGTGTACTATTTACATTCTTGCTCTAATTCTCATCTAGAAAATGAATCTGGAACTATTCCTTGGAGCTGTGTGAGGATCGTGAACACATGGACGCATTAGACCTTTGCCAGCACATTGTAAATGTTCAAAAGTTAATGTCATCATTAGGAACCAGGCACTTTCCAGGCCTTAGGATATACAGATCAAAGTCCCCAGTGTCCTATCCTGATGTTTATAATTTAGTGCAGACACTTTGCTACTTTTTTCTAGATACAGACCTTTATTTTCATAAACATTTTGGTTGAGTGAAGCATGCTCTCAAATGAGAATCTTTTCCAGTGTTTAACCAATTTTGTTTTCTTTTTTTAAACTTAGGTTCTGTTCAAGGGAAAGCTAGAATGACAGGATTTTAATAACATTTTAGAGGACTCTTTCATTCCTCTGGTATTGCCCCATGTGGGCCTGGGCTGTTCTATAGAATGAACCTATCTATGTTGACAAGGCATACCTGTGTCCATGGTTCTTTTCTCTACAGCCAACATCTTTCAGGCTCATTTTTCATGTCTGTTGTGAAAAGCTCCCGTGCAGAAAATGGCAGTGAGTTTGTCTAGTTCATGTGTTACTCTTTTTACAAGTTGCAATTGAAATAGAGTTAGCACAAGAATGAAAATGCAGATGAATAGACGTTTTACAGCAGACAAACAAAAGACAAATTTAATCAGGGATTGGCTGATACTCTGCAGCAGGAGTTTTGCAACAAATTTTTGAAATGGAAGAAAAAGGGAATATTACAGAACATCTTTAGTGCTTTATAATCTCATTTTGAATCCTAAACACTGTTTTGGTGACTGCTTTGAAAGCTCTGACTCTGTTGCATGTGGAACCCTAAAGTAGCTTGATAATAAGTCTGACTGCACAATGTCAAAATTGATTCACAAAGATTAATGGATATTCACATTATTTGTGTTGGAGAAATTGTGCTTAAACCCCCAAAGTCCAGCTGGTGCAGCACTGGGAATACAAGGTGAAAAACTGGCAGAATTTACCACAAAGGATATTGTGTGTCATTTTACAGGATATTCTAGGTTGAAAAAGTAGATATGCAGTCAACCTTTTTAAAAAAGAACTCTTAGTCAATAGTTTCTATCCCGAGTCCTAAATTAATAAGCCAAGTGGGCAGTGTCCTAGTGGTTCTTGATCGAATCCTACCTCTGCTTATAAAAATGTGTCAGTATACTATAAGGCATGTCCCTCATTTTTCCTAATGAGGTACTTTCAAATATACCAGGTACAAAAATCATTTTCTTGCGGAGTTCTAGAGTAACTGTGCTTTGTAAGCAGTCATGTGGTACTGCAATAGAAAACTGATTCCTTCAAAAATCCATTTTATACAATAGCAGAAAACTGCAACAACATCCACAACTGGAGTCGTCATATGATTAACCTTATGAGACTCCATTGTCCTTTCCTATACAATCACCATGTTGTCCAGGTCCCTGACGGAGGCCCTCATCTCTGCATTTCTTCACGAGTGTTATACTTTAGTTTATTACTTTAGAAGGAAAAGCAGTTCCACCTTTCCTACTATAATAGTCCTCCCTCCACAGGTCAGGGAACCAATATGGAAAGACAACCAGAAGCTGAGTACTTCTATTCTAATATTGCAGTTTGGCATTGGGGAAATAACCACAGCATAAATTTGGGGACCCACTGGGCCCACTGTGATATGAAACTGAGTTAAAACTACCTCAAACACTTATAAAAACTCCTACTTTGACTAGTGGACTATACTGACTTTTTGGGTCCCCAGGAATAAGGCACTTTAGAACCAATATCTAGTAATCCTAACAAAATGTAATTTCCTTTCCCCAGTGCACAGTCACCCTGGTAAATAGTCTCAGGTCTCTTTGGAGATGAGTAAGGAGAAGACTCACAGTATTAATTTCTGACAGTGTAGCATGTTTCTTCCTCAGGATCAGGCCTCTGTTTCACCAAAGAGACTGGGTCTGTGAACTGACTCAACCCTAGAGTTAGTGGAGTGGCCATAAATTCTCTATTGTGGTGAATCAGTGACACTCCTATTCACCAGACATAAAAAGATTAAGAATTTAGGAGGCTTCCATTTTACAAATCTTTCCCAAGTTCTTTGAACTCTCTCCTGAGCTATTCAAGTAAAGGGATTCTGAGACAAGTAGTACCTACCCTTAGCCAAGTTGAATCAGCACAAGATTGCTAGGTAAGTGTACAGCTGATTACAGTAAAATGTGATGTACACACTCACACTGAGGTTTGTGCAAAACATGCTGGTAGTACAGCAGGATTTAGGACTCCAGGGGAATCAAAGAAGGCTAGTTAGTGGTTTATAAACTGACTTTTAGAAGGAGGAAAGGTGGTGGGATGAGAGAAGCATGTCAGGTAACATTCCAGGTATGTCTCATTTGGCAAAGTGAGTGGTTTACCATAGCTGGAAAACTCAGTTCAGTGCATGCCGGGTAATTGAGCCAACAAGGCTAGATGTGACTTTTTCTGGCTTGGTATTAAAAACAATCTTCAGCCAGCAACTGTGAATGTTTTGTAAAGATGATTTAGGCCTTTAAGTAAATTATGCTTAAAAAAATTAACTTAGATTCATCCAAATAGGAGATATACATAGTACATAGACAATTTAATGAATCTGAATATTGCCTCCCTATTTTCCATTGATCAAATTTAATGCATACACTTTACTAGAGATACTATAACAGTTCAATTAATGGTTATTTCTCCCCAAAACCATAATATAATATTATTTAATGATCAAATACTGTTGCACTATTTATTCAGATAAATGTATTCACACTTTTTTCTTCTTAATATTGTTACATATTTTTCTAATTTTTTTTAGAGGGGGTAAGAATACAAAAATTATATATATATGGATATTTTTGGTGGAATGCAATCACTTATTAATCTGTGAAACCAGTACTTTCACTCATGTCTGTGTAAACCACACAATATAGTGGCTTCATCTTAAGTCTTAACAGAATTTAGTAATACGGGATTGTGATGGTTAATTTTATGTGTCAGTGTGGGTAGGCCATGGAGCTAGTTTTTGGTCAAACACCAGTCTAGATGTTGCTGTGAAGGGAAGGTATTTTTTAGATGAGACTAACATTGAAATCAGTATACTTGAAAGAAAACATATCACCATACAGCAAAGTGGTAGGCTTCATCCAATCAGTTGAAAGTTTTAAGGGAAAAAGACTGAAGTTCCCCAAGGAAGAGGGAATTCTGCCTTCAGACAAGACTGAAACATCAACACTTCCCGAATGTTCGTCTGCATTGCATATTTCACACTTGCCACCCCAACAATTGTGTGAATCAATTCTTTAAAAGTCAATCTCTCTCTTCATCTCATTGGTTCTGTTTCTCTGGAGGACATTGACTAATAAAAGGATAGACCAAACATTGTTTTAAAACATCGATTTAAAAGCATATCTGTGCACAAAGGAATTGCTGATGAATTTATAAAAGAACTTATCAACTTGAATAAATATTTGATAATTTATAATCAAGATTGGATTGTAAATAATTTGGGAACAATATCAGCATGAATAACTGGAGTTAAACATAATTTTCAAATTCAGTTTTTACTAGCAATTTTCAAACTGTTTACCAAAAATTCAATTCTCTGTAGAATGGCTGACTTTCTCCCATTTTACTGAATTGTTGAGGTACTGGTAAGTATTAAAATATAAATCAAGAAAATAAAAATATCTTCAAGTAGGATAAGAAGCCTTTGAATAACAAATAAATAGGGAATACACATATTGAAAAAGTAAGGTAGTATGGTTATCATAGCCAAAAGTAGATTTCTGCAAATTCATAGTTCTTATGGGTTACGTTCTGTCCCAAAAATTCACATTTCGGTCCTAACCCAGAATACCTCAGAATGTAACTTTGTTTGGAGATTCCAGATTATAAAGAGAGAAACTTGGAGATAGACATGCATACAGGGAGCGCTCCGTGTAGGACCAAAGCAGACATCAGGATGATGCTTCTACAACCCAAGGAACACCAAAGATTGTCAACCAACTACCAGAAGCTAGGAGAGACCCATGGAACAGATTCTTCCTCACAGTGCTCAGAAGGAACAACCCTACCAGCACTTTTATCTTGGAATCCTAGTTTCCAGAACTGAGACAATGCAATTCTGCCATTTAAGTTACCTCACCTGTGGTACTTTATTGCAGCAGTTCTAGAAAAGTAACTCTGGAATACTAATTGATTTTTTGTGATAAACAATAAAGAAATACCACTGTGAAATTCCTGATGATTCAACTAATCTCAAAACTATTATTTATGAACTACTGTTGTTATTTTCAAATATTCAGTTATTATATATAAATAATAATGATAATGATAATAGCTAACTCTTATGGAACATTTGTTATTTGCCAGGAAGTCACTGTTTTAAATGCTTTTTAAGTATATTAACTCATAAATAATACTATTAACCCCATTTTGTGAAAGAAACACAGAAGTACAAGGAAAGTAAGTTACTTAAGTTTACATATATAGTAAGTGGTATATCCAAGGTATAAAACTAAGGGAGTTTGGTTCTAAAGTTTCTGATTCTAACCACATGCCATATTATCTATTGATGACATAACTAATAAAGATTCCCTTGCCCCCAGAAGAGCTTTCCAAGCTCAATGACTGGTTGCATTTGGGAAGCTAGATTCACAACAGATACCTACATGACACAAGGCTGTCTACCTGGAAGTATTCAGGTCACATGGTGCTAACCAGCCTCATTTTCTTTTACATAACACACTTTATGTGGAGCTATTTATATTTGAGATTTATTTTAACAGAAAATCATATACTAATCCTTTATTTTGGTCTTTATTTCTGTTAATATTTAAGTCAGTTATTTTCTTGAAAAACCTACAATGATCATTAAAACATATGTAATAAAAATATAATCTTATTTCAATGAATTGTGAATTTTGTGAATGTAATGCTGTTTAATGACATGGAGTTCAGTAACTGCAAAAACATAGACACACACACATGCACACGCACACACAGGCTCATTGTCTATCCTTGACTGTAAGCAGTTACTTCCATTAGAGGGTAAAATGTCTTTCATTCATTTTGTGATCTCTGGAGAGCTTGTTTTATATGCTTCAATGAAGAAGCTGATAGATGTAAATGATTAACATCATTAAAGGGGTTTCCATTGAGGAATAATGGGTCTCTCCTCTTCTGCAGTTGAGTAACTTGACTGAGTTGCGCTCCAGTTCCATGGCTCACCTTGTGCTGAGCAGAGAGTTCGCTACTTCCAAGACCCTGGATTTCCTGGGACATGCTCCTGCTACTTCCTGAAGCCTGGGCACCTTACCTAAACGCTGTGCAGCACAACTCCCCATGACTCACTGGTAAGGCATTTTCAGTTACCTCTTGTATTTTTCTATGGTGCCAGTTCCTTAGTGTTTAGAGGCAGATTTTAAAATTTCTTAATAAATAAAATCTAAAGAAATCAAAATGTTACATATGTAATACTGAGAAGTTATGTATGGAAGAGTACCACATGGCTCTATTGTATAAGGAATACACTCTAACATCATAGAACTGAAGACATAATTTTTAATTAATCATAGATTTAAATTATATGTTTTTCTATTTAGGTTTCATCTTTTAAACTTTTATATACTATATTTAATGCTTTGAAGTGTGTGAAATTCAATGCCTTGCCAAGGGTATCTATTGTCTGTTTATCTATATCTTTTTTTTCCTTCTTTATTACATATCAAGAAAGGAAAATAAACATTTTAAATTAAATGTGCAATTAAAATGCTTTTGGCTGTAGGTGGCTCAAAATTGCTTAAACAGTAAGCACATGATTATTTCACACATCTGGAAGTTTACAGTGTCACTTAATAGACGAGCTCAAGAGTCCTTCCTATTTTCCACTCTGCCATCCTCAGGTTGTTCCTTGGTCTTGTGACCTGGATGGATGCACAGTGGCTGTGCGATTTCAGGTATCACATCCCTCAAATCAAGAGGACCTCCTTCTTTGTGGTTCTCTCTTCATGAAGAACTTTTCCCAGCCCCCAGCCCCACCCTCCACAGACCATTTTGCACATGTCCTTGACCGGAAGCATAATAAGCCCAGCCTCGAAACAAGTCATGGTCAAAGGAATGGGATCCTTGTGTAGTTGACTTAAACCTTAATTTACCCCAGAGCCATGTGATGGAGGATTAGATGTCTGAAAAACCAGGAATGGACCTGCCCCACAGGAAAAACAGGATAATGCATTTTGGAGAGGCTACCTATGATTGTGGCTTCCAGGCTCTGCAATATAAGGCCTTGCTACCTCCTGGGTGAGTGCAGGACAGTTTAGAAAGGAGAGGAGGTGGGAATTACATTCCCCAGCCTCTTTGATTTTTTTAGCTACTGTTTTGCCTGGCACTTCCTAGATAAATTTGAGACCTTCCAGGTTCCTATTTGCCAACAGAAACACTTGCCTCTGTCTGTGGGCTGGGTGTTTTCTCCTTCTGGAGCAGAGGAGGGATGTCATTATTGGCCCATGCTAATGCTTGTGGGGAAGTTGGGGCTCCTGTGGCCAGGATCCTCACTGAACTTAAACCACCTGATGATGTAACTGGCCTGTTGCTGGGCTGCCGCTTCCACACCTTTAAGCAATAAGCTATTATTGAGCTATATAGAGAGCTCGGCCCAGTGCTCTGGGCGGAGGCAGAGACGCTAGTGTTCGACCTACCGCCAGGAGAACAAGCCAGGTAATAAACCCTTTCACCCCAAAGAACGTTTTGCTGTCAATTTCTTTGGTCACTTTGAATCCACAGTGAACTTGCCAGGGGCTGAAACCCTCAGACAAGACAGAGATTAATCTTCATTTACTGCTTGTAACAAGGTCAGGCCATCCCAACAATTGCCCACACTTCTGCTTTGTCCTCTTGCTGCCAACCTGAACTGGAACAACCCTCCCTACACCGACGACACCTAATTACTCAACTCAAGGAATTTCTCAGCCCTCACCTTAGCTGGCTTCTGGCACCATTTGACATGAAGGCTTTTTTTTGCCTTGAAGTTTCTCAGAAACCTCTGCACCCATCCTAACTGGCCCAGACCCTCCCTCAGTCTTGGGACTCTTTTCCACCAGGCCTTTCAGCATGTTGGTCCCCTAAATGTTCCTTCCCCACCCACCTCATCTTCTGTCCTACTCTCCTCACCCTGGATATCCTCTTGGGTCCCTTTTTAGGCCCCAGCTTTGCCCTCAACTCCCGGCCCTCATCTCACACATGTAGCTCTAGGTCTGCATGTTCATTTCCATTAAATCAATTAAATTACAATTATATAAGCACCTCATATTTAGCAAGTTCAGATCATGCCCCTCCTCTGCATTTTCTTACACGAGACAAAGGCTCCCTGATTGTCCCATTCATCCGAAGCAGAGCCTGACACAGAACATCAAATCAGCCCTTCTCAGGAATGAACCTCCATGGCCATTCTGCAGCCAAGGCAGGGCAGGCTTGCTTTGCTCAGGCCCCTCAGAAGGGTGTTTTTTCTTGTCTAACTACCTCTTTCCTTGTTCAAGTCTTCCTCATTTGTTGACTGGATCCCAGTCCTCTCCATCCCATCCTCCACAAAGCAGCCAAATGGGCTTTTAAAAAGTTAAACCGTTTTGGAAATAGTGGAGATGGTTGCACAACATTGTGAATGTAATGGATACTTTTGAATTTTACAATCAGAAAATGGTTAAATGGAAAATTCTGTGTATGTATTATCACAGTCAAAAAATCTTTATGGAAAAAATATCAAAAGATACTAAAAACTTATCTATATTAAAGGCAAGTCATGTTAATGTAATAGTAAGGTCGCCTGGCCTTTATTATAAAACAAACACACAAAAAACCGAGTCAGGTTTCTGATTGCTAAAACAAACAAGCAAACAAAAAATTAAACCAGAGCATGTCAGTGTCAGCCTTAAACACATTTTAATGTTTGGGGAGGGAAGAATGCCTGCTCCCTTGTTGGGCCTTGGAGGCCCTGCGTGGCTCACTCTGAGACCCCTGGGAGCCTTGCCCTCCTCCCTGTCCCCATTCCTCACTCAGCCCAGCTGCTCCCCATCATTCCCCATGACACACATCGCCTACCATCAGAGAAATGCAAATTAAAACCACAATGAGATATCATCTCACACCAGTAAGGATGGCTACCATCCAAAAGACAAACAACAACAAATGTTGGTGAGGTTGTGGAGAAAGGGGAACCCTCCTTCACTTCTGGTAGGAATGTAAATTAGTTCAACCATTATGGAAAGCAGTATGGAGGTTCCTCAAAATGCTCAAAATAGAAATACTATTTGACCCAGGAATTCCACTTCTAGGAATTTACCCCAAGAATGCAGCACTCCAGTTTGAAAAAGACAGATGCACCCCTATGTTTATCGCTGCACTATTTACAATAGCCAAGATATGGAAGCAACCTAAATGTCCATCAGTAGATGAATGGATAAAGAAGATGTGGTACATATACACAATGGAATATTACTCAGCCATAAGAAAAAAACAAATCCTACCATTCACAACAACATGGATGGAGCTAGAGGGTGTTATGCTCAGTGAAATAAGCCAGGTGGAGAAAGACAAGTACCAAATGATTTCACTCATATGTGGAGTATAAGAACAAAAGAAAACTGAAGGAACAAAACATCAGCAGAAGCACAGAACACAAGAATGGACTAATAGTTACCAAAGGGAAAGGGACTGGGGAGGACGGGTGGGAAGGGAGGGATAAGGGCAGGAAAAAAAGAAAGGGGGCATTATGATTAGCATGTATAGTGTAGGGGCGGCACAGGGAGGGCTGTGCAACACAGAGAAGACAAATAGTGATTTTACAGCATCTTACTATGTTGATGGACAGTGACTGTGAACGGGGATGTGGGGGGACTTGGTGAAGGGGGGAGCCTAGTAAACATAATGTCCTTCATGTAATTGTAGATTAATGATATGAAAATAAAAATTAAATAAATAAATAAATAAAATAAAAAATTAAATAATGACTAAAAAAAAAATGTTCTTTCCTTGTTTAGTTAACAGGTTGACATTTAATTTATTATGACCTAAAATATGTGCTTGGTTACAACACCATAAAAATAATTTCTGGAGACAGAGAATATTAGGAAGGTGTGGAGACATCACAGGAGGCTTGTTTGTGGAAGAAGGATGGTGTGCAGCACTTTCCTGAGAAATCTGAGTGGGAGATAGTGTAGTGTAGTGGACAACAGACATGCAGCAGACACACATAGATGCTATTTGAAATGCCATGTCCAGAAATGGGTTGCATGCTCTCCAACCATATTCTTATTGTTATTATTCTGAGTGGTTGCCCCTTCCTCCCCTCTTGTTTTCTGTATGGCATTCCTGAGAGCCTTCAGAGCAGTGAGATTTGGTTCCATCTGCACATTTTTCTTTCTCTTCTCTCTCTGCAACTCTTCTCAACCAATCCCTGTAACAACCTACTCACCACACCACGTGCAATTTAGGGGCTCCACATCTAAGAATTTGCAAGTTTGGTGTCTAAGCCATTGTACAGAAATAAGATTCCATTCTTGAGAATTGTCAGCACAATAGGTGTCCTCTCTGCTTATGCTTTTTTGTGTATTTTTGATGCAGAGGCTCTAAGTTAGATTGCATGGGTTCAGACAGTGGTGAAGTCCAGTTCTGTATTTTATTCTTTAGGTGAGTGTAAGCATCTTAGTCTAGTATTGCCAGCTCTTTCTACAGTCCAAAGTATTTTAATTGTTCCATTAATTATATATCAATTGGTATAATTCAATTCAACCTACTAGAGCATATGGCTAATCCAGGTGCCCCAACAGATACCTAATTATCCCTGAAAATGTGTCCTAGCTGATATGGCTGTTATCTGCACCTTTCCAGTCATTTTTGAATACAAAGGTTATTGCTATAATTATCCTAATTGCAACTGTAAAATTCAGTCACTTGCTTATTAATTGGAGAGCTCTTAGAAATAGAGAAAATTATGAGAATATAATCTAGTTGTTAGAATTTAAAAAATAAATAGGACAACTGCCTTTGTAAAGGCATAGGTAGGTTCAGTGTGTACACTATGCAAAATAATGTTATGCAAATAATATTTGAGAAAGAGGAAAGTGCTGCTGGCCGTGTTATTCTCTTGTTGGACAGACAGCCTCATAGAAAACTGACTCACAGTGAGGCTATTATAACATGATGCAAAACAAGGCCACTTTTTGATTTTGTCTAAGCACAGATAAAAACAAAGGCACTGTTATGGACTGAATGTCTGTGCTCTACCCCAGTTAATAAGTTGAAATTCTAACTAAAAAGTGATGGTACTAGGAAATGGGCCTTTAGGGGCAGATTGGCCCAT